TCTTCTCCACTTTCTTTATCTTCAACTTCTTCACTTTCAACTTCTTCCACTTCGAATATTAATGGATCATCTTCTTCGGATATTTTTTGGTTGGTTTTTTTTTAGTTCTATTGGCCACCTTTTTTGATGTTGATAGTTCACTAGGTCCTATTAGGGTGATTTACTTCTTAATAGACTTGATGCTAGTGTTACTATCTCTATTGGTTCATCAGCACTTTTTCCTGTTGTTGTCTCTGCTGTTTTTGCTGTTGCTGTTTTTGCTGTTGCTGTTTTTGCTGTTTTTGCTGTTGCTATTTTTGTTACTACTATTGTTGCCTCTGCTGTTTTGGCTGTTGCTGTTTTTGTTACTGCTGTTTTTGTTGCTGCTGTTTTTGTTGCTGCTGTTTTTGCTATTGCTGTTGTTGCTGCTACTATTTTTGTTGCTGCTGTTTTTGTTGCTACTTCAGCTGTTAATAGTTCGCTTAAGGTTGCCTCATGTTCAGAGAGCAAATCATCTGAAGAGGTTTCTTCTTCACTTTCTTTAGCCTTTTCTATTTTTTTCTTTTGTCTCTCTTCTATTTTTTCTTTTGTCATTTCCACAGTACTACTCTATCATTATCACTATTATCATCATCTGCATAGCCACCTTTTTTTTTCGTTCCTACACCACCTTGTCCTTTCTTAATATCTTCCGCCCTAGCTTTTTCTTTCCTAATATCTCCTGCTCCAGCTTTTTCTTTCCCAATATCTTCTGCCCCAGCTTTTTTTTACTCAATATCTCCCATCGCACCTTTTTCCTTCCCAAGATCTCCCACCCTACCTATATCTTTTTCTTTTTTTTTCTCACTACCTTCTCTTTTCGTTTTTTTGCCCTTTTCACTTACCTTTTTTTTCTTTTTTCTTGGGTCTTCGTCACTAGTTGAATAATCAGCATCAAAATCTTTTGCAGTTAAATTATACTTTTTTAGGGCTTCATTGGATAATACCCAATTTGGGCAATCATCTGGAGGTTTACCAGTATAATCGATATCATTCTCGTAGCAGCGTTCAATCATTCACTTGTTTTTAGGCTGAAATAGTTTCACATAAGAATCAATCCTTTTGTGAAACAGCCGTTTAATCTAATAATATTAGGCCGATATTAGGCCGATATTAGTAAAATCATTATATATTTTAAATTTTAATAATGATTATTCTCATAAACATGATTTCACAAAATAAACTAGGATTATAGATAATCCCAGCTTATTTTGTGATATCATGTCTATGAGAATAATATACTAATACCTACATTCAGACCATGCCACCACTTATCTATACATATTAATTTTTTATTAAAATCATCATCAGTTACCCACTCTTTAGCAGAGTAATAGACGTTTCTACCTTTACTTCATGTTAACATCTCTAAATCATCTTGGGAATATCTTTTAATTCTTTCATTACTAGCCTTCATTAAATATGCCAATGCCTTATGTCTTCTCTTCCTTTTCTATTTTTTTTTATATACAATAATAAATTATATTTTACATATCAGCAGATTTTTGTAATTTGATAATTATAAAATTACAAAAATCTATCAATATTTTTATATTTATATTATTCTTACCTCATTTACCTTGCTATTTTTTGCCATTCATTTTCAATTGTATTCTTGCAGATCATGATCAGTATTTATTTGAGCAATGCATCTTTGTATCTTATGATACTGTTTTAATATTTTTTCGATATTTACAGTATGATTTTTAAAGCTGTGTAATTTTTCTATTAATGCTGGAATTAGGTTTTTTCTTATATTTTTTTGTTGAGATGCCCATGATTTTGAGGGTCTGGTTTAAGATTAGACAAGCTACCACCCTCAGTCAATATCTTTATTTTTTCTTATGAAGAAAAAAAAAATAATTCGAAATAAAAAACAGAAAAACAAAAACAGAAAACAGATCATACTATACTTACCCAAAGATGAGCTGATTGCTTCTTATCTAGTAATTTTAGAGGGCGATCACTTTCTGAGCTCTCGCTTTCACTTTCTGAGCTTTTGCTTTCACTTTTACATTCATTGCTACTACTACTACTCTCATCATTATCTTTATTTTTTATTTACTTTTTTTCACAACCTCCTTTCCTTTTCCTTTACTATAAAGAGCTTTTATAGCATTTTCAATTGCAGCTGCAACAGCCTTGCTATCTCTAAAAATTATATTATATTAATTAATAAATTAAAATATCAACTTATTATAAATCTTACGTTTTTTTTTTTACACCTATATGTTCAGGCTCTTTTCTTAGCCATTTTGCTACTTTCGGCTTTAGGTAAGTATTTTTCTTTGCTCATTTTAAAAAAGATTATATTAATATTAGATAATTAAGTAAATGTTATAAATAATTGAAAATTGACTTAGAAAAATTCATAGGGAAGATACTATCCTTATATAAGTTTTTTATTCTATATGTTAATTATCTTCTTATTTCACTATATTTCTTAAAAAGT